CATTTTAAAAATGAATTTGAGGAAGCACTTTTTTACACAGCGTGTAGTCAGAGTATGGAATAGTCTTCCTGATAACGTAGTGCAAGCTGAATCCTTGGGTTCCTTTAAATCAGAGCTAGATAAGATTTTAACAACTCTGAGCTATTAGTTAAGTTCTCCCCAAGTGAGCTCGATGGGCCGAATGGCCTCCTCTCGTTTGTATAGTTCTTATGTTCTAAGAAAAAAGCCAAATAATGACCCAGCAGGACAGCGTCGTGTCAGCAGTACCATCACAGACATGGGAGTCCTTGCATTCCCTGTCACAAACGCTCTACAGCGCACAGTACTGCAAATATTTTCTCAAGGCCAGAAAGTCCACTGAATAAAATGGAACCAGGAGAGGCTGATGACAACCATTGGATACTATGCGAGCTAAAAAACCTGCATTTTTATAGACAACTTCCCTGCTGTCTTTACAGCGAACAGATAATCAGTGTAATATGGATGGAGGTCTTATTTCATTCATTTAAAGAGATGCTACAAAGCCAAGGCCTGGACCTCAGGGTTATCAAGGCTGGGTTTACTATCGTAATAGTGCAGGCTTCACATGCCAAGCAGATTATTTAGTTTAACTGCTTTTATTATGCAACAATATGGAGAAATACATCAGATAGGAACTGCTAAAGGAAATTTTCTCCTCTGTAGGGCCCACGTGAGTACAACTGTACCACGCAACAATCTCAAGCTCACGGCCGCTTATCAGCACACGTGTTGTGGGTGCGGACGGCACGTGACCGGTGGGAGGGGGAGGGGCTTACCAGGCCAGATACCAGCAGGTGCAGCGACAGCACCACGGCGACGGCCCACCACCGGTTCCTCTCGCAGCTGTCGAAGAACACGACGCCCCAGAAGGTGTGGAGGAGAGTCATGGCCAGGGTCATAAAAGCTGCCGGGAGCAAAGATTAATAGACTAATCATCATCATCATCATCATCATCACGACAGATCTAAACACAACATAATTATAGAATTGTTATTTCTCCAGGACAAGAAATCGGCTAATGATTAACAGAATATATTATGAAAAAAATATACTTTAAATCCAATATCACAGCTCCTGTGTATCATGTCGTTCCTCTTCTGGGCCATATGCAAGAACCAGCCCACGTAAGCAGACTCCCTATGTTTTTAATATACCGAAATTGCTGAATTTCAAGCAGGGCTGTGTTAGCATTGCGCTAAAGCGCTGCTTCGGTAAATTCATGTTCATCTCCATTTCGATAATGACTTTCCACCACTAGGTGGAGACACAGCTGACATCTGAAGCCCTAAGGCATGCAGACCATATTGTTGGGAAATTCCAAAAGACGCAATACCACATTACACCCTTTTGTTCTGCATTTTAAAAAAAAACTGGAAATATGAAAATGATGAACCGTCTTCCAACCTGAAGTGATGAAGTAATACTGTGAATCACCGAAGATGCCTACGGTTCCAGGACCCAGGGAGTCCGAAAGGATGTTGATCATAGAGAAGGCTCCACTCATGATGCCAAAGCCAAGGCCAGCAACTGTAATGGACAGCAAATAAACAAGTCTAATTAAGGCACCCCTTCACGGTTAACCTGCTTACCATCTAAATAACCGTCTGCTTACCGTTTCCCAACCCGGTACTCGGGCAACCCCACGTTTTTGTTGTGGACTGTGTGGCAGGGAGCTGGAAGCAAAAACATGGACCGTGTGGCAGGGAGCTGGAAGCAAAAACATGGACCGTGTGGCAGGGAGCTGGAAGCAAAAACATGGACCGTGTGGCAGGGAGCTGGAAGCAAAAATATGGACTGTGTGGGGGTTCCAGAGGACCAGGTTGAGAAAAACTGGTCTAGCAAATTGAACAATTAAAAAAAATATATATATGTAACTACATAATACTACAAGCAGAAGGAGGACTCTGTAATTATTTAACAGGAAACAGGTGCTTAACCTTCAATATCCGTGTTCCTACGTGTACACAAAGTCTCAGTGTGGCTGTGTTTCCAATAAAAAACACTTCAGACTGTGTTATACATGCTAGCAGAGACAGGAGCCAGCTGACAGCAGCCCATCTGCCTGAGGGACACTTATGCTCGCAGTATCCAAACACGAGTTTGAATGTGTTTCAAAAGGACCAATAACAGCAGTTTTTATACAATACAATATAAAATAATGTTACTTTAGTCCTCAACTGTATGTACAGCTAATCTCAATGCTTCCATTTACTTCTGCTTTCTAACATTTCATATTTTACATGTGTATGTGTGTGTGTGTGTATATATACACACACAGATACAGAGATACAGTAGCCTAACATAGTACACTCTTTGTACATTACATTGTACACTTGTACAATTGATTGTTTGCCAAAAAGTCAATTCCTCTCAGATTTCACAGATAGGACTTAGAGAAAGATCACTTTCAAATTTTGGCACCTTGTTCTTTTTAATGTCAGACACGCTCGGTTCAGTTGCCACCCCAGTGCGCCCTCTACCTCTAGCTCTGTGAGTAGCACGTTAAATTTACCCAACTGTACAGACTCCTGAAAAAATCACACGCATGCATTCTGTGTACATATTGACGACTGATTGCGTGGCACCTGGATGCTATCGACGGACCTGCACTATCAACCAGAGAACTGTACATACATTAAGAGGCCCAGAAACAAAGGGTGATTATAGAAGCTCTAAATAAATAGTCAGACACAGCAATACAACCACTGTAAGCCAATCAGCCAATACGTGTCACACGGTACTGAGCTCCTTGCCAAGTACAGAGTCTTACCCACAAAACGTGATTTTTCTTGTATATTTAACATTCTGTAACTGAAACACAGGCCTCCCTGTTGACGCAGCGCTTCCCCTGTTTTACGACAGGCGTTCATATAGGATAAAGTCCTCGTCACACAACACGTCCGAAATGTACACGTTCAAATGAAACGAAGCTGCCCGAACCACCGAGAAGTCAGGGAAGGGAGGGAAGGTGAAAGCAGCAGATAAATGACAGCTCATTCCATGCTAAACCTTGTAGCGCCTCTGCAAGCCCGCGCACGCTATCCTGGATGTCTGGGGAGGGCCAATTTGGTAAAAGGGGCAGGAGAAGAAGGGAAAAACAAGCAAAACTTGCTATATACTTATGATGATGTTGGGGACATAATTTTTCAGAATTATCTTTCATTTTCAGAATTATCATCAACCATGGCTTATACACAAATATACAAATGAACTGTAATCAACATAGTACAGCCAAGGTTATCTGCTAGTCCAACAAACAAACCCCAACATAAGTACCTTTTTTCCCATACAGTTTCCGAGTATGTTTCCCACATCAACAATTGCTGATAATGTCCTTGAATAATTAACACTCCAAGAGAATTAATTCTGTCACACATGTAGACTACAAAGCTCTCATGTCTACATGTCAATCACTGAAAAGGACACTTTCAAGTCTGCTGTATTTTTGTCCCTGTTCTGGTACAGGGGTCACCCTGACATTTCAACAAAAAAACAAAAAAGGGACAGAGCCAATGAGGAAATATCACATCTTACAAATATATACATGACATCAGCAGCTAACCACAAACAATGGCTTCCTCTTACCATACAATCGTTTTTTATATTTACATTTTATTTATTTATTTTTTCCCCCAAAGCAATATAAAAGCTTCGGGTAAAAGGACAGCATGAGCCATAATCCCTAGAGCAGCTGGAGTTATGGGTCGTGAGATTTGAACCCACAACCTTCTGGTCATAGACTCTGATTCCTATCCTATAGAGCTACACACCACCCCACTCCAAAAAAAACATAACTTTGCTCAAAGCTTAGTGGTTCACCAAGTCAAATCTACAGCCTCATGCACATACAGCAGCTTAACATCAATACCACTGTGACAACTGTGTTCCCATTCACAATATATGCAAGATACATTATTAGCGCTCGTTTACACTTCTGTGTAGCATAGATATAAACTTATGATCCATTAACTTTACTGAATTATGGACAAATGAGTTTCATGAAAATTAAACGCACCGATAAAAGTGGGCTCAGCAGCTACAAGGGCACTATGGAAATAGGGGGTGTAATGTTCCCTTGGAGCTTAGGGGAGCTATGCTTGTCACCAGCACAGACCACACTTTAGGTATTAGTGACCCACTTTAAAAAAAAAAATCAGGCTTATAAAACGGGTGGCTTACCGCCACACACGTGCATTACGTATCGCATGCGACCCCGATGCATTCCGACAGCTAGACGAGCACTGAACAGCTCAAAGGAAGTGAGAATGGCAGAGGAATGCAAAACAGGAAATGGACTTTCACAAAGGCACCACCTGCAGAACGGCGGAAAAGCATCTCTCAGAAGATCGACGGTAATAAAAATACCGTAAGCCATCTGGCGGATTGAAATGGGCGATAGGTTTTCCTCGCTGATCGCAGCCAAGCCTTCGTTTGCCTTCCTGGGAATCGCCAGCAACAGAGAGAAATGAGTCAGTGGACATATTTTTTTAATGCAGCGCAATAACAGTGAGGATTAAAGGGCAGGCTTTCCTCTGATGAAACATTAATAACAGGCATGCTCATTTGCATATCACACCACATCAGTGAATTTACATTAGCAGAAACAAACAAAAACACTGAAATTATAGAACACACACACACACTAGAGGACTAACTACAAGGCCGCTGTTTACATGCAGTATAAATGTAACTACACTCAATCAAGACACTAAAGTGGTAGGTAGAGGGAGGGAAGAAGGTAGGGATGGATGTATGGATGGATGGATTAACTAAATAGACAAAAGGGAAACTGTGGTATGGGTTGGGCCTAATAGCCTTAGTTCTCCCAGTTCACATGTTCTCCCAATGAGAGGTTAGTCAGTAACTATAGGACTCCATAATGAGTCACACCCTCTTCCATTAGGAGTTCTGACTGAGTGTTATGGCATTTGAACGGACAGCAACAATGCAGAACAATAGTCATGGAGGCCTACAGAGAAACTCGAGAGCTTCTGCACAGGAAGGCCGTAGCTTTCACAGGGAACATTATACTTATTATGTGAATTTATACTGTTCAACTCCATGGCCATTCTGACACTGGGACAACCATGTCAAAAACAAAAAGGTTAACAAGTCAGGTTTAATATTGGAATTGTTCAACCCAATTTGGACTGCTGGCTAATAAACAGCAAGAACCAGAGAACCTAAAGGTGGGAATTTGAGATTTAACATTGCCCACCAAAAAAATTACTTTATTCGCTACTGTGTTGAATACAGAAAAAGAAAAAAAGTATGAAAAATGAAAGGTGTCACTTTGCCGTTCCGGATCTTTCCGGCCTGGTTTACGTGGGACCCACCTGAGGAGCCTGTAGTAGGCAAAGCGGAAAACCTCCTGTAGCACCACGGAGAACATGACCCCGAAAATGAGCAGGCCCTTCTGCGCGGTGGCCTCCTCCTGACGGCTGGCCTTTACGGCTATGAACCACACCAGCGAGGAGAGCAGCAGTGACAGCAGCCAGAAGAAGGCCCTGCGGAGGAAGGAGAAAGCGTGCTGACCGCCGTCTCACACACGGCGCAGGCGCACTACAGATTCACAGCCAAATTACAACAGAGGGAAGAAAACCGGCCAGAATCTGGGGATCCCAACCTTGAATCAGGGTCAGACAGTCAAATTACAGCCATCTGTCATAAACATCATTTATTGACAGGGTTGCCAACTTTGATCAGCTGGCTGGAGTGAGATTTTCAATTGGAGACAAGTCTGCAGATGCATACACATGTATGTAAGAGTTTCATTACCCTGTGAATAGTCTGTAGGGTTTGCAAACTACCCCATGGCTTTTGATGTACCTAATTTTAGGTTTATAATGGAATAATACAGGTTTGCCATAAGATTTCTCATGAATGTGATAGTTTGAAAGCGTGAGTGTCACGCCAGATGCGTGAGAATTGCCAGTCCTGTATTGAACTGGCTTAACATAAGAACATAAATTTACAAACGAGAGGAGGCCATTCGGCCCATCAAGCTCGTTTGGGGAGAACTTAACTAATATCTCAGAGTTGTTAAAATCTTATGTAGCTCCGATTTAAAGGAACCCAGGGTTTTAGCTTGTACAAGACAAGACAAGACAAGACAAGAAGTACGGCTTATTGATCATTGGGGGAAATTAGGATATTCAAAAATTGGATGGATTGTTAAAAATATATAGAGCCACTTAAAAATCAAAAGACCATACTTCTAGCTGCATATAAAAACAAACACTCTTTTAAACAGGAAGCGCTACACCTTTAAACGCCCCAAATTTCCCCTCTTTTAAGGGAAAAGGGGGGGCATTTGCATAAGAAAGGTGTTGGTACTGACCCGGCGATGAGGATGATGACTCGCAGGGGGTCCCTGGCGATGGTGAAGATGAAGAGGGCTAATGCCGGCCCGAAGGCGATGAAGGCGCACCCGAAAAACACGGCCACGGTCATTATTATCTACGGATCATCGACCCAGGACCGGGAATCCGAGGACAAATAGCGGGGAAAGGGAGCCCGACCGCGCGCAGATGAAGCCCGTTTCAAACGATACCAACAGCTGCCGAGTAGCAGTTACCTTACACGGGTACAGATGGTGACAGGAGACGTGTAACCAGCCTGAGGGACGGGCGGGAAGTTACCGGACAAAACGCTTTACATCGCCTCTATTCCCGAATACTCATTTACTTCAGATTATTAATAAATGTCGCTGTTCACACCTCACGCTTTCCCGTGTCGCCGTTAACCATCGTCTTTCTCTCGCTTGTTGGTTTATTTTAAACCGTGTTCGGATTTCATCGCTTTATTCCCTCTCTGCGTATCTTTAAAAGTTAAGTTGAGCTTCCCTTTTCGGAGCAGCCTTCGCCATTTTTTTCGCTCTTTTTCTGTTTGTTCCCAGTTGTTTCCTTGTCCTTCCGGGTTTACTGCTCCAACGGGGTTGCCAGGTCTTGGCCAATTTTCCAAGTCAAATCCTCCACAAAAAAAGCGCAACGAGACCTGAAACCAACCCTAAAGGTTTAACAGTGCGAAGGAGGCTGGTTCGCCGTTTTAGTATTTTCTGCTTTGATGGGGATCCCCCTAAATATTTTCCGCACCTCGCACTTGCCCTTTATTTGCCATACGTGTTTGCGCGGTTATTCTTATTCTGAGCACAGAATGAGAAATGAGTCATTTTCAAAGTATCAACAAAAAAAAAAACCGTCTTAAAATCCGATTTTCTGGCAACCCAGTTAGATTTTCTTAAAGGGGACTCAGCGCGTCGCTCAGAACGCGAATCCCGCCTGGGACCAACAGCCTCTACTGGCGCGTTTATTAACGATGTCATCGGTGATTAAGCAAAGCATCAGTTTCATTGCGTGACAGCATATTGTAGCTTGCTCAATACAAGCACTGTTGGTTCAGACACCTATGCAGTCCAGGATCCGAGTCTTTGCCCTGGGTCTAAGTGTGTGGAGTTCGTATGTTCTCCCTGTGTTGTTGTGTGGTTTCCTGTAGGTCAGGGGTGGGCAATCTTATCTGCAAAGGGCCGATGTGTATGCAGGTTTTTGGGGTAACCTTTAGGTCAGCTGTTCAAACCCAAGTGTGAGGGCTCTTCAGTCATTCAGTCCTCTAATTAGTAATCTAATTAGGGAGTTGCAGCAAAAACCTGCATACACACCAGCCCTGCTCTAGGTTCTCTGGTTTCCCCCCACAGTCCAAAAACATGCTCAGGTTACCAGATTGTCTATTGGTGTGAATGGTGTGTGTGTGCCCTGTGAAGGGTTGGTGCCCCATTTTGGGTTATTCCCACCTTACACCTGCTGTTTCTGGGATAGCCTCCAGACCCCGAAGACCCTGCACAGGATTGGTGGATATCGAAAATACACTTTGCCTGCAGGATTTTAAATAAGCTATTTTGTAAAGAGCCGTGATGAGACACCTTGATCAAACCAGGGAATACACACAATGCAGAACTACTGCCTTTCATGTGATTTGTGGATTTGACTTGTTACTGGAATGGGAGAAGCTATAGGCAGAATAGGTAGCTGCCTGGGGCCCCCCAAATACCCGCAGTGTAGAAGGTGTGAAATGATCATCGATTTTCTTCTTGGGGAGCTTTGCCTAGGACCTGTGACGAAGTACAGCTGTCCCTGGATAAACGTGTGCTAGAATAAATATTGAGCTTATATAAAATAAATGATGTACCTGGAATAAGGTTCTGGCATCCGGTACTTATTTATAGTGACGGTCTATATACAGTAGCAACGTGACCCATGCCTCCTGCTTACTGGTGACCTTAGTGTGGACACGTCACCAGTTACTGCCAATATGCAGATAACGTTTGTCATCTGGAAACACCTGGAACTCCCTAAATAAGGTCAAAATACAGCAGAACTGGAAAACAATGGACCACATGATCTGATCCAGCTAAAGTTATTAATTATAGCTGTGTATATACAGTCATTGACAAAAGTCTTGTCACATAAGGACATAGTAACTTAAAAAGGCATATAACTTTATTTCTAATCAATCAATTGTTACATTGAATGGATCAATTTAATTCCAAGGGCTTTCACATTAATAACTGGGTACAAAAT